AAATTGACAAAGAAATTAGAGGAATTCATATATATAATAACTATTTTAAGACAACGATATATGCAAATGATCTTATTATTGGAATAGGCTCCATAAATGATTGGAATATAATTTTAGAACTAATTCATAAATATGAAAGAGCATCCAATACAGTGATAAACAAAGAAAAGATAACTTTAGCACCATTAACTACAAATGTCCAGAAGATAAATTTGACGAGTGAAACAAACCTTAACAAAATAAGTGAAGATGGAAATATCATAGTTCTAGGATATACAGTAGACACAAGAGGAAACTCAAAAAAAAACTTATGGAAAAATATGATATCAAAAATAAAAAAATTAACAGAGAAATATTCGCAACAAAACCTGTCTTTCAAAAGACGTATCTTGATTGCTAATTCGCTCTTATTAAGTAAGAAACAACTTAACGAGATAGATAGAATTATCTCCTAATAAATTAAAACAAATTCTTGTATCATATCACAGTACTCAGTCTTCCAGCTACCAGCAGAACAGAGAGGCTTGAATGCACCTATACTAAGAGATATGATGAAAGCAAAGCTAATTGCCATATTGCTTAAACTTATATCAGACCAAAGTTTGTGGACTAAAATCGAGAGGCAGAGAATTGAGAATTCGATTAGATCTATAAGAAATATTTCAGTTAAAGTGGCACTTAATGAATTCCCAATTAAAATGAAAGCCTGGCTGGATTATTGGAAACTATATGTTAAAGCCTAGAGAAGATTGGAAGAGAGAATTTTAAATGACTCAACTAATTGGCTCTGGGTCTTAGAGGATATACAAGTTATTAACAGAAAAGCTAACGAATACACAGTTAAACTAGCAACAGAATTTGGAAGAAATAAGATATTTCAAAGTAATCTGCAATGATCAAGTCAGGTGATACAAGAAGGAGGAGATAATGATATAATCAAATAGTATTGTCGTAGATGTATTATCAATAAAAAGATTGGTATATTCTGGTGCATGCTACACAGGGCACTCTCTCTGAGATACAGGCTACAACACTTTAGCAATACTGAAACGGGAGTTTGCCCAACATGTCTAAATGATTTACAAATAGAGCACTTTATTGCAGAATGCACAGTCAGTTGTCTAATTTGGAGAACAGCCTACCAGTTCCTAATCAGTCCAACCAATCTCACACTACCAAACAATTTGGAAGAGATTAGTTCGGCCTCCAATATTAAAACAGGCCCAAAAATGACAGTAGCGATGTGGTTACACATCATAACAGTTTATAAAATTTGGTGGTAGTATACACAAATAAAATAGAGAAATAAACATTTTTCAATGGCAACACTAATGCATATAATACACAACTATATTAGCAGAGAAATTAAAACCCTATACTAGTTAAAAATACAGAATAAGAAAGCCCAATAATCCTTAGATTTATTAGAAGAGATTTTAGATAGCTCCTAGATAAATACGAAAGGAAGGCATTGTATAAAACTAGTCTGATAACATAGTTTAAACATAATTTGATGTAATTCTTTCTACTAGCATTTATATAAATTAATAAATACTTTATGGCGTCCCGAGAATATTTCTACGAGTTAAAAGGAAAAAAAAAAAAAAATATCTCAAATCTTAACAACTAATTAGAGATACTACAGCTAGAGCTGACTTCAAGTAGAGTTGACAACATCTTTAATTCTTATATTAATACTGAAACCAGATATAATGCCAAGTCAGTTGTTCAACAATCTAATTCTTTGTATAACCTATAGTTGGCTTAGTCAAAAAAAAGTATTTAGATTTGGTTAGTAGTTTGAGTTCTGTAAGTAGGTATCTCTATTATCTAAGTAATTTTTATTCTTTGTTTAATCTCAGCTATACTATACTACTTTAGGTAAGCTGTACTTATTATCCACAGTCATACTTAGTATATCAGGTTAGTAACTAAACAGAGTATCAAATTAATGAGAGTTATATGAACAAGAGTTTAATAAAAAATAAGATTTATCATTTATGCTATTTAGCAATAAACTTGAATTAGAGTAGTTTAGTAAATTTATATTTATTAAAAAATTTATTATATATAATAGGTCAAGTAATAGTATATTAACAGGAAGTTTTTATAGAAGTTATTATTTATTTATATGAAGAGAAAATTATTCTTTCTCTAGAGTCTTTATAGCTTTTATTAATAATATACTTTTTATTTATTTACAGATAATTTATTGTATCTAATATTTAACTAATTATTATATATTTAACTAAAGCATAAATGATA